TTTTTTTTCAATTTTCTAGGCTACTACTGGAACATCGACTCCTACATCTCAGTCTGATCCAAACAGTAATAACAACAATTCATTTGAAAACACTTCAGCCCCGGTTACTCCAACTCTTGAAGATATTGCTCAATTTATTGACCCTAAATTCATGAAAGCCGGTATTCAGTTGCTAAATAACTTCAGCGGTATGTTCGCAAAAATGCTTGAACCTATGGATGTAGGTGATGAAAGTTTTGCTTCGGGTTTTGCTGGTAATGGGTACCAAGCACGAAAACCTTCTACAGCATCAGCAACAAGCTCAATGTGCTCAGCAACATCCAAGTCAGCAACTACAACCAATACAAACATCAGCGCAAACGAAAAGAAAGCTACTGGGAAGAAAGATCAAAGCGACCAAACAAAAGATGAAGAGAAAGCTGTAGCTCCTGTCAATCCTGATACCACCACCAACTCTAGCCCGATTTCACAGGAAAATTGCGTCGAAAAATCACAAACTAAAGAGCGTCGCCGTTCACAAAGCGAAGAAAATGACTGGCATATGGTTGAGAGGCAAGCTGCTGAATCCACCATAAATTTAATTGATATTTCGACTTCTACTTCGATCGAATCTATTGAAAAAATTGAGTCGCCCGGAGCTGTAGCTGGAGCTGAACCAACTCCTGCTCCAACTCCAGTGGTTGAACCTAAATCCATTGAGAACAATTCTGAAGTTAGTTTCGAAAAACTTAGCATTGATTTAAAGAATCATGTTGAAAAAGAGAAGCAACACGAGCGCGTTGAAAGGAAATTCAAACTTGCTGACGTTCTTAATAACCAAAATATACCATCCGTTTCCAATAACACTGGCGCTACACCCAAGGCACAAAAAGAACCTATAGTATATCATACAGGTGAGTTAAAAGTAGAAGTAGTTAATTGTAGTTAATGACAACATATTAATTCTGAACAGATGCTAGTATCAATAAAGCTATACATGCCATGATGGCAATGGGCTTTAGCAATGAGGGTGGATGGTTAACACAATTGCTTGAATCTGTCAATGGCAATATATCGGCTGCACTGGACTTGATGTCACCGGCACAGAACCAAAGTAACAATTAAACAATAGTGTAAATGCTGCATATTTGACAGCTCATTTAGTTTTTAAGATTCGTTGTAGCTTTTAAGTCCCCTTTTTCGATTACAATATGAATTCACGTATGCACTCGTTCCATTACTGAAACGCTAAAACTGCAATACCAAACATGAAGTTTTAATTTCAGTTCCCATTTTAATAATGAACTTTCATCAAGAAGTCATTTGC